TCTGTAAAATCCAGACAATCACAGTTCCTTGCAGGATTAGGGTGAGGAGTGAATGGGGGTGGGGAATGTGCCCCAATGGGTCTGTCTCGGAGACAGTGCCCAGTAGCGGTCACTGTTGCCGCCGTTAAGGTGCCCTGAGATGAGAGTTCGGGATGACCAGATTTTAGGACAAAGCCTCTGGGAAGAGAGGGAATTTCCAGTGTGCCTGGACCCATTGCACTTCTGATAGGAGGAGGGGAGGATTGACCTAAACCATAGATGTTTAGGCTGCTTTCTCTTGATTTTCTAAGTGACAACTTCCACAGACGAGGGAAGAATCACATCAGTAAATGGGCCAAGTGTTGGCTATGATGTTATGGGAAAGAGAGAGAGAAAAAAAAAGACATTGTCCAAGCTGTAGCCAGCTGCAGATGACTCAGGAGTTCAAAACATCCTCTATAAAAGGATACGCATCCCAACATCTGTGAAGTCACTTCTGAATAAAATTCACCACCTCTTTGGGGATCGGCAGTAGAGAGGGGTTTATGTGCCAAGTGAATAACATCCCTTATTCCCGCGTGGCATGCAGGAATCGCTACCCTGGCTGACATACTGTAAGTCACAGGATGGAATTCCGGTAGAAGCAGCAGAAACACGGGTGGATAAAAGACGTGATGCTCCGTGGTAATGAATTCTGCTTCCCTCTAGCAGGTCGCAGCTTTCAATCTGCCATCACTGGCGGCAGTGAGGACTGAGAGGTTGTAAAGAAGAGCACGGGGTTGATGGCACACGCTCACTGACGCTGACATGTATTTATTGAGCACCTATTTATAGGTGCTGCGTGTTTCCTGTATGTATGTCTGAGTCCACCCTGGAAGGTACTGCGGGCAGGCGCCTGTTCCCACGGAGGGCTTCCTGTATGTCTGCCTCACGCTGTCCCCTGGCTGTGCCTGGCCAGGGAGGCATGGGAGTGAGTTGGTGCAGAAATGCCCCAGCTTCCCTACCCCAGCATGGCAGTCCTGGGGCGTGGTCCCCCAACATCTCGCCGAGGATCCCTCGTTGGAACTGAGCTTCAGGCGCCTTAGCGGGAACCTGCCTAACCTTGGACAAGTTCCTTAGTGTGTCAGTTTCACCTTCTTGTAGGATGGCTATGAGGATAAAAGAGGTCCCACTATCACTGCCACCACTGGTGGTTCCCATTCGTTTATCGGATGCTGGGAACCAAGCATTTTGCTCAGTGTTTCAACCGTTTCTCACTGATTCTCACAGTGACTGTATGATGTAGGGACTTCAAGTATCCCAATTTTAAAAGGAAACTGTTGTGTGAGGAGATAAATAACTCATCAAAGAGCCATATTCTGAGTTCTAACCCAGATGCATTTATTGTAAGGGCCAACTTCTAATAATAAGCAAGGCTGTTATCGTGTCTAGCAAAGCAGCTCCCGTGATTAATTATTATTAGCAAGAGCGCAACATATAGTAGGCTCTCTCTAAGTGTTGAATTATAAAATAATGAATGAATGTTTGTTGCTCAAGATCATGAACTCTCTTTGGCTCTTGGCTCTGACTTTAGGCAGGGAGGAAAGTCTCTGGCCTATGGTAGGCACAAAACACAAATCATTCACAAAATTAAATGACTGAATGAATGAACGCAAAGTGGTATTTTTTAAAAATTACTGGTGATTCTCCAGTTCTGAGGAAATCGTGTTAATTCAAAGGCGTTACTTGTTTCATCTCCTTACAAAAACCAGTCCCAGGAAGGAAATAGCCTTGAAATCCCATCAGTATTTACCTCTAGGTATGAGGATAATTACAGATTTTATCTTATGCCTTAGTATTTTTCATGATGGACCCAGATTACCTTTCTAAGCGGAAAGAAAGAATCTCTATTAGGAAAGAAACCAACAAACAAATAAAACAAAAACCAGATTCAGAGCATAAATGGGTCCCAAAGCAACATGGGTGAGGTACTGACATACACGTAGATGCTAAGCTGGTGTGAGTGGTTTCTGAGTCGGGGCAGCAGGATATAAGCTGACTTTGTTGTCACATCTCACACAGCTCTTTCACACGCCCTCTCTCTGGAGATTCACACCAGTCCAGTGACGTAGGATCAGTGGCCTTGTTTCACAAACAAGGGATCTGAGAACCAGAGGGTCCCACTGACCAGGACAAGGCTCTGCTCAGGGGGCGGAGCTGGATTGGAATTTAGGGATACTGGGCTGGGCGCCCAGCAGCCCCTCCCGAAGACCCATTAAAGGAAACGAGACAAGAGTGGAGGTGGGTGGGTGGACCAGGGGCTCATGTGGTAGCTGCTTTGAGCATGTACAAGACCGTTTTGTGGAAGAGAAGCCTGACTTGGACTCCTTGAGCCAGACAACTTGGAGTTAGAATCCCAGTTCTGCACACAATGTCTTGGACATTATTATTTCCTGTTTCCAAGCCTCAATTTTCTCATCTGTAAAGCTGGCCCTGTGTTGTCTACCTTACAGGGTTATGGTGAGGGTCAGGTTGGCACCAAGTGGGTCTTCTTGCCAATTACCTGTGCTATTCATGAGCATGGCTTTCATTGCTTCCCAAACTGTCTTGATAATTGTTGGTGTCCATAAATTTGTGTTTCCACGTATATTAGTCAGGTTTTACCAAATTAAAAAAAAAAAGAAACCCTCAGGATTGCAGGAGCTTGCTTGACAGCAGACATTTATATTCTTGATCCCGGGGTTCTGGGTCTATGGCTTGGCTAGATCAGGTTGGGTTCAGCTTGCTCAGGGTGGACTTCTGGTTGGGTTCAGATCTGATCCACATGTTATCAATCTGAGGTCCAGACTGAGAGGTAGCAGCTAACGGGGACTAGGGAGACATATTTATGGCACTTCATAGGAATGCAAGAGGGATAGACTTGGGACCATACCCTGGCACTTCCATCAACATTCCATTGCTTAAATAAGTCAGTGGTCTGGTCCAGAACCCAGTGGGAAGAGGAATAAACACCACCTGTTCTCGTGGGAAGGACTATAAAGTCACATGGCAAAGGGCACCGATGTGTAATTCAGATTCAGGGTGGGAACAAAGAAGTCAGAGCAGTGACCCAGCCTGTACAGCAATAGATGTTAATCAATATTCACATGAATGCATACATAATTATGAATGAAAACTCAAATGCATTCCATGATCTAATGTAGAGCTGTTTCCCTGAAGAAGTAAGATTTGAGGTAGTACAAAAGTTAACGAGGCAAAGATAGTAAGTGAGGAAGCCTTACAGGCAGAGGGAACAGTATGGACAGAGGACCGGGACAGAAGGACCTTGGCAAGTTCCAGAATCTGAAAGAAGGCCATATACCTGTAGCAGTGAGCCTGAGTGGACGAGATGAAGCCAGAGAGATGGACGAGAGTCTGACCATGTTAAACGTTTCTGGTTTTATCCTAAAGAACTGAGAAGCCATTGAAGAATGATTAGCTGGGGGTCGAGAGGTGGGGGGGGGTGTATGTGTGTGTGACACAATCAGACTGGTGTTTCAAATTTTTCATTCTGCATATCAGCCAATTGTAAAGCATAAAGCTTATTTGGATCTGGAATTTAAAAGAAATTGTTTAAGAAAGCATTTTTGACATTTATGGGACTCTTAGAAATCTGAACATTGGATATTTGGTGATGTCAAGGAATTACACAATCTTCCTAGGTGTGGTAATGGTATTGCAGTTTGTATTTTTGTAAAAGACCTGGTTTTACAGATACATACTCTTCTATGTATGACAGAAATGGTTAAGATTATTTGCTTCGAGACAATAAGGTGGGGAGAGGAAAGATTGATTGTAAGTTGATGGTGATCGGGGCTGGTCCGAGGTTATGTGGGATATAGGACACTCTTTTCTATTTTTGTGTCTATAAAATTCCCCACAATAAAAGGTAAAAACAAAATGGGGGGCACCTGGGTGGCTCAGTGGTTGAACATCTGTCTTTGGCTCAGTTCGTGGTCCTGGGATCGAGTCCCTCATCAGGCTCCCTGCATGGAGCCTGCTTCTCCCTCTGCCTGTGTCTCTGCCTCTCTCTGTTTCTCATGAATAAATAAATAAAACCTTAAACAAAATAAAAGGTAAAAAAGGAAAGTGAAGGTTCTGCCTGCAGTATGGGGAACCAGATTTCAGAGGGAGAAATGGTGATAAGAGGAGACCAGGAAGGGGGCCCAGGTGGGAAGGGTGGAGGCTTGGCCCAGGGCTGTGTTGGTGGGAGAATAGAGGTTGAGAGATCTTTAGGGAATAAATGAGACAGGACTTGGATGGATCGGATATGGGGATAGGAAGATGACGGTCAAGAGTGTTCCTGGGTTTTGGCCCTGGATGGAGGGACCATGCTGAGCTAGGGATGGAGAAGGACCCGGCAGCTCCCTTGGCTTATCTTGTTTTCACTCCCCACCTCTATTTCCCCTCCATTCTGCAAATATTGAAGCTGTTCCCTTACATAACACCTTTTATCCCAGACTTCCTGTGCTCTGTGCACTCCGCAATTACGTTTTGGTATGCGTGAATTAATTATAATCCTCTCTCAGGTTCAGAGGGGCTGTCCTGAAATATGGATATTCATAGCTCTACCTCTGTCCGGGGCCGGTCCCCTTGGCCAGCAGTGGGGGAACACCTCCACCCCCCCTAACCCCCCCCCCCCCGCCTCCATGCACCCAGCGGCATGGGTCTGTCTGTCGCACCTGGGAGCACACTTTGATTTCATGTTTAGAGGAGTTAATGACTTGTAAATTGCTCTCGACTGTAGAGCTAGAAATAGAACGCACGACGGATCCCTGAACACTTGCACAGATCCGAGGATAGAGACACCGGCCCCAAGGTGGATCACGAAGGCCCCAGTTTGCTGGCTGCCTTCCTTCCCATGCCCGGACAGCCACTCGGTGCTATGAGAACATCCTAAGCAGGATGCCGGCCCCCAGGTGAAATCACGTTGGCCTGAGACCATGTCTTCTCTCCAATCCCTCTGGATGACGCGTGTCACCTTTTCTCCTGCCCCCATCCAGGTAATTCTCTGATGTGACGGCTGAGACATGAGATCTTCAGCCTCCAGGCTCTCCAGTTTTTCGTCAAGAGATTCACTATGGAATCGGTGAGTGGCCTTGGCCCATCCTGTCTGGAGAGCCCAGCCTGGGAAATGCAGAGGGGTTCTTGGGGGGGGGGGCAGTGGGCGGCAGGGGGAGGTAATTCAGAATTTGATCAAACTGCTTGTTGCAATCTGACAAAGACACCGTGGGTGTGCATGTTAGTGGCAAACAGATGCGTAGGGCGGTAGACTTTTCAAAGTGCTTCCCATCACCTCGTCTGTGTCCTTCGTGCGGGAGGCAAGGTGGCAGGGTGGTGGTGCCAGAATGAAGCCAGGAGTAGCAGCAAGGAGGACACCGTCCACAGCAGGTGCTATTTTAGCTGAGCGATGCTTAGAAACAGGACTTCATTCAATCCACGCAACAATCCCACTGGGGAGGAATTACTACACTCATTTTACAGGTGGAGAACATGCCCAGCTGGATCTGAAGTCCGTTTTTCCTGATTCCAGGAAAATCTGCCCTATTTTGCTGCTGGGTGGCCTGGTGTAGGGGCATGTGATAGAGTCCACGGAGTCTGGCCTCAGTGGGTGGCGGTTTGTATTAGAGGAGGACAGGAAAATTACACTGGCCAAGAAGAGGCAGAGAAAAATCATAGAGTCTTGAGAATCTTAAAGTTGCCAGGGTAACTTGACCTAGGGTCAGTTGGCTGTGGTCTGCGTTCCCCAGAAATCAGCTTCGTGTGGTGGAGAGAGCATGGGTGCTGGAGGGACAAGTAGAATTTTGGCTTTGCCACCAACTTGCTGTGAGACCTTAGGCAAGTCGCTGACCTTCTCTGTTTTTCCTTTTTTTTTTTTAACCTCTGAAAGGGAAATCACAATATTTACGTTTTATATTTTTTGTGAGCAGGCTGGAAAAAAATAGTCAATGAAATGTCTTTTGAAAAGTAGGCACGTATAGAGCGTTGTAATTATTTCAACTTTTAGGATGGAAATTGTTTTTAAGTATAATTAGACAAGCAAAAGTGTCCTGAGTGGATGAGAGAGGCTAGAGGCAGGGAGGCCAACCTGAGAGGCTTTAACATGACCCCAACATGAGCTGACAAGGAACTGTTACTACCTTTCAGGGTAACTGATGCTTCGTTTGCTTATTTTCCTAGTTTGTCTGCTAGAGGAAGAGCTGAAGTTATGTTGTATTTTGTTCTGGTTTTTTTTTTTTTAAGTCAAGAGTCCAACACAAAAGTGGTAGTTCCGCAGGTGTCTTTTCAGGTAACATTAATTATACTTGCAAAACCCAGTGCATTATTTACGATCAGGTTTTGCTATGAATGATGTAAAATCTAAGTGAACATTGGCTTAAAGGAGATAGAGGTCTATTTCCCTCTTACCTGAAAGTTGAGGCACAAGTCGTACAGGGCTGCCACAGCAGTCTATGGGATACCCAGGCACTTGCTCTTGTTTCTCTGCCTTGTGGGCCTCCAATCCCAAGTCACCTCACAGTTCACTCTAGCTGCCACTGCTCCAGCCATCACATTTACCAGCAGGAAGAAAGCAAGAAAAGAAGAAAGGCAGGCTCTTTCCCTATAAGGATGCTTCTGGGAATTGTATCTGCTGCTTCTTCGTCTATTGGCTGGAATTTAGTCTTGGCACAGCTGCAGGAAGGCTGGGAAATGTGGTCTTTCATCTATGAGACCATGTGCTTACCAAAATTGAGAGTTGTTCTTCTAGACAAAGAAGAGAGCAGATTCTGGAGGACAAACTTAGTTTTGCCAAGCAAAAAGTTCTTGAAAGATTGCTTGGAAGAGGAGGGGCCCTGTGGCCAGACTGCTGGTGTTTGACACCCCGGTCCATGGTTCCAATAGTTACATGACCTCGGGAAAGCTACTTAACCGTGGTGTGCTTCAGTAAAATCGTATTTTGTGCATCCTTAGGAGGGTTGCCTTGAGCATTCGATGAGTTAAGGTGGAGCCCTTGGAACAGCGCATGGAACATAAGTGCTGTCTAGCTGTTAGCTGTTACTGCCTCTACTGCTTCTACTATTAACACCACTATTTCTGTTACCACCATGACTGTTTCTGTACCTGTCAGTCAGTACCTGTCCTGACTACCTCGCCGGCTACTTCCACTTCCGTTCCTGCTGCTGGTACTGTTGCTCCTAGTACTTCTGTGACTACGACTGTTACTACTGTACATACCACTGGTGTGTGGCAGGCACTGTACACACATTTTAAACATGTTATCCTCACAGTGGGGTAAGTATTCTTTTCCCGATGTGAAGATAAGAGTCAGCGAGGATAGGAAACGTGTCAGGCGTCCTGCAGCTGGCGGGGTAGTGGCTTCCTGTCAGGTGGGTAGGACAGTGACGGGAAAGTGGGGCTTGAGGCCCCTGCTGGGGTTCTGCAAATGTTCTGTCCCCCGATCGGGGTGCTGGTGACCCAGGTATAAAAACTCCTTGAATGACACACGTATGACACTGATAAAGTATTTATACTGTATCTCAATAAAAACGTATCAAGGAGCAGGTAGGCGGTAGAAATGAGTGAAACCCACACCTGCCTGATTTCAAAAAGCCTGTACTTTCTTAACTGTAACATAGGACCCACCACCTTTGCTTCTTTTTATTTGTTTGTTGGCTCTTTCATATAACAGGTGGAACAACTGCTTATGCAGGACCCAGGCCAGGGTGCTTGGGGTACAAAGGTGCAAGCAGCAGGCACAACTAGCTCCTCAAGGGGCTCTCTGCTGAGGGGAAAAGAAAAGTGGTAAATCCCATACAGAATGACAGCCACAGGGTTAGGCTGATTGGGGGACCCTCCTGGGCCACAAGAGGGACATGTCAACTCCCCCCACCATGCGGATCTGTGTCTGCTAACATAACGTAGCTCTCCATCTCAACAGATGCCTCAGGGAGGGAGAGGAGGAGCTCCAGCATCCGTGGGTAAGCTGGGCACATGAGGGCTACATCCGAAAGCAGGAAGCATTTCCCTCTGTTCTCCGCTCACCGGCCCTGAGAAGGGGTCAGCTTTTCTTTTTTCTTGTTTGTCTGGGCAAGTTGTCGCTCTACACTTGGTGTCGCCTGGAGCAGAGAGGAGTTAGAGTTTGGAGCTCAGTAGATAAGCAGGGGAACCCTGCAGAGACTTTTACGTGTATTGAGACCTAAGTTTGGGGACCTCCTGCTTGGCTTGTTTGGTTATTAACGTGTGTGTGTGTGTGTGTGTGTGTGTGTGTGTGTGTGTGAGTGAACGAATGAGTAAAATCACACCTCACTACTGTGCACGTGCCACCCCTGGGAAGGCTCATTTCCAGGGGAATAAAGAACAATGTGTTTCCTTTTTTTCATCCCAAATATCACCAGGACAGCAACTGGAAGTGGGATTGGATTCTGAGCCAGCAATAGAAATCAGTTTGGCTTTATTTTTAGGGTTTTTCTCCATATGTAGATACTAACCAGTGGAAACTCTAGACCCTCCTAAGCCAAGGCCCAGAGAAACGTCTGTGACCCCCCCTTCACCCCCGCCCTCCTTTGCTTTTCCAAAGGGTCAAGGCAGACGCCCTGTTATTATCATGTCGCCAGCTGTCAGCCCAAATCGAATTTCCCTGAGCCCAGCTGATGCCCCTTTTTGGCCACAGGGCAGGGGTCAGGAATGAAGGCTGCACATGGACGGGAAATGTGTCCCTCGGGCTGAACACAGAAGCACTGACCTCTCAACTCTGGGTTGAATTTGTAACATTGTTGGAAGGGTTGGGAAGCATTATGATTTCTAAATGTAAAAGAAAAACACATTTTGGAAAAACAACATTCAAGTTCACTGTGAAAGCCCTGTCAGTATCATGGAGGCTGCTTGAAAGTCACTGGTGACTTCGTGGCATTGGCCATTCCTTGGTTAGACGCATAAAGGGAGGAAGGTGTCACCCGGACGAGGACTGGGAAATTGTGTTTTTGATCGTGATGCTTGCCCTCCTTCCCTTCACTTTTTTTCCTCCCCTCCTTCAAAATTTATTGAGCAGCTACTATGTGCCAGGCCCTAGGCTGAGTCCTGGGCTCATAGATGAATAGGACCCGCTGCAAAGCCTTCTGGAGCTTATCACGCACTCACTTAAAAAAGTTCATTCTATAGAGTTTATTGAGCACCTAAGTTGCTCTTGTCTCTTAGTAGAAATAAAAGACACAGTTCCTTCTCCTACTGAGTGTATACTTTATTATTTTTTTTCACTTGCTCACTCAGCAAACACATTCTGAGCACCTACTGTGTGCCAGGGACTGCTCCAGTAGCTGCGATGCCAAGATGAACAAGATATAGCTTCTGTCTTGCTGGAGCTGAAAGACTGGACCATGCTGTGTTCCTCTCTATGGGAGCTGTAACAAAGTACTCCAGACCTGGTGATTAAAACAATAGAAGTTTCTTGTCTCACGGTTCTGGAGGCTGGAAGTCTGAGATCGAGGTGTGGCAGGGCTCCGCTGTCACTGAAACCCACAAGGGAGCACCTTTCCTTGCCTCTTCTCAGCTCCTGGTATGTGCTGGCAAGGCTTGGGGGTCCTTTGGCTTGGGTAGCCACAGCCTCTGGTCTCTGCTTTGGTTGTCACGTAACCTTCTCTGTGTGTCTCTCTTCTCTCTTATGAGGACACCAGTCATATTGGAATAAGGGCCTGCCCTACTTCATTGTGACGTCATCTTATATTTTAATTATATCTGCAAAGACCCAAATAAACTTACGTGCATGGGCACCTGACTCCAGGATGTTAACACTGGGTGGAGGAGGTACATAGTTCAGCTTATGACAATCATATATCACGATGCAAAGCACGTATGAGGGGACCTGGAGAAAGTGTCATTATCTTCCCCTTCTTCATTTCCTCTCTGCATCTAGAAGGTGCGCACCCAGAGGTCAGCAAGCCTGTGTTGCTCTGAGCAAGCGATTCTGGAATATATGCCAGGGAAATGAAGCAGACCTTTTCATGGTGCACTTACGGGGAGGTGTTCTTGTGTGGTCCCAGGTGATAGGCAGGGCTCTTTCCTGCCATTGTCGTATGTTTTTGTTTCATGGGGTGGCTGATGAAGCAATCATGG